GAGAATAACGTAGGTTGTGAGAGCCTGTTGCTTTTAGTCGATTTGTTTTAAATTTTTATGTCTTTGGAGTGAAGTGATCGAAAACTGTATAGTACTATTGTGAGGGAAAAACATAGAGCGAACGGAGGTTCATTCTGGTAGAGTTTAAGAGATTCAAAAGAGAAAAATCACGAGGGATTTGTGGTCAGATAAGTAGTATTGTAGTAGTGCAATTCATTGTTCAAGTAAAGTGTAGAAGGAGTCTATACTATAAACCCTTGAATGATGTTTGGGATATTTGCATTAATGAAAGAGATTTGATGGGAGAGTGGGACGCTCTCCTGAAGGTTTAATTTTGCAGTGATACTGCTTCCGCAATTGCTTGAATCTTCTTTTTATTCTGTTTGATTAATTTGTATGCAACTCTGGATACTTGGTGTACAAGTATCAAATTACAGATTCATCGTATTGGCTCCCTCATTTTTCATTGAGTCCACATACATGGTCATACGGATAAATTTTTGAAGAAGGCAACATGCAAGGACAATTTTATTTTGAGCGCTTATGCAAAATATGTTTTGCTTATAAGGACAACCCATCGCATCTTTAATACTCCAAAAGCTTGCTCAATTACATTCTGCGCTCGGGCATGTCGTAAGTTAAACATCTCTCTATGGTTTCTAGGCACTCCGTTACCTTCACCAAACTCATCTACATAATATCATACACCCCTTTACGGAGCCAAGAAACACGGACCATTTGTGTATCATGCATCACAGAGGTAATTGTATGTGGAAAATATATTAGACAATCCCCAAAATATGAAAAAAATAAATAAATAAATAAACCTAAGAATTAAAGATTTACTGTTAAATACAAAATTGGATATCTAACAAACAATTTATACATATTTATATGTAAAAATTGTAACACTAACCTATTGGTCCATGAAGCCACCCTGGTCGATGAACGTCGTCTCGTAAATCCCTACTGTATGCCGCAAATCCTTCCCAACCGGTTAGTACGTAAGAATAATTCATTTCTTGCGTGCAAACACCAGCACATTAACAAAAAAATAAAATAAAAAATAAAATAAAATAAAAAAAAAAAAACTTTTTCTATTGCGATATCGTGGATGTAGATGCGTAGAAACAAGAACATTAATGTATGTTCCATCCAAGGCTCCTAAGCACCCCTGTGATTAATCCACATGCAAAACCGGTCTAAAAAATTAATTATGTTAATACAATTAACAATAATTGTGCTTATTTTGTTTGATTCGTTGCCCTCACCTGGAACCATGTCCATGTACAATCGGGGCATGAATCGGTTACTACAGTGCTTTGGGCAATGAGGAAGGGATGCAAACGCAGGACGACACGTAGTACATTATGGAAGAATTTGCTTATTGTTTAACCGGATTGTTTGAAATCAAATTTCACAACACGATTTTTTTTATTATGGTGAGCTAGCACACTAAGAAACATTGCTATTTGCTCAGTTATGTGTATATCTCTAGAGTTCTTACGCCCCCCCTGTTGGAACCCACGAGGATCTCGATATGCACAAATCACGGACAAACATTCAACATAAACCTATGCGCAGCGGATCTAAAGGTTTGATGAAGAAAACTTACTGCTTAAAATTTATGTAGATCTGGCTGGCCCGGACAGTTGACCGCAAATCAAATCTTCTCGGAATCGAACAAACTTGACCAATCCAGAAAGCTGACGTCACGGCGAAGTCAACGGCGTTGACCGGTCGGAAAACGGACTTCACACGCGCTCTCACGCGCGACGGCAAGCTTCAGCGACTGGCACCTTTGGGCGGCGCGTGGCGGCGCGTGAGGAGGCGGACGGCGGCGATCTCGACGGCGATCTCTTCGTCTCGTCGTCCTGGTCGTCGTGGTATGGTCACTCGCTGGTTTTGGTCTCCGGTTTGGATGTATGATCGGAATCTCTATATACCTTAAGATCTTCTACTGTATTCTCAAACAGCTTTCTAGATCTTGTATCAGTGGAGCACAAGAAATAGAAGAACTCCTTGGAAGAGAGAGAAAGAGAGGGGCGGGCGACTTATTGAAGTTGTGGGATTGTTCTCTTCTTCCATGAGCCTAATGCTGTATAT